TAGTGCACGTTCGCACATGACACGCGTATAGAAAACTCCGTCAGCCGTGGAGCGTCCGGGTGTAAAGCCTGCCTGACTTTCACGTACATATGAGGTGGTAGATTGTTGTGAACGCATGGTGATGATGCGGGTCAGCACCTTGCGAACAACTGATAGCAGCATGACCGGTCTGTAACTTTTCGGTGCACCCATAGGTTTTCCTCGTTTGTATACTGGCACCAGAAGGCCACATCTAAGGTCAGGTGGGCAATAGTGGAGTTCCTTAATGGAGTTGAATAGGGTAGTCAGCCATGGAGTAATGACAGTCGAAGCCGTACGTAGCAGTGCCGCACTGATCCCATCACATCCAACAGCGCCTCCGATTTTCTGGTGCATGATGGCCTTCCTAATCTCTTCAGAGGTAAATGGTTCGTCTTTCGCCTTACTGTTAGGCTGTGCCGGGAAAAGCGTTGGCTGGTCGCTCCGGTAAAACACTGATGCGAAATACTTGCTGAATTCCTCCAAATTCCAATTTACATTTGTGACATTTTCACCACTATCATTTGCGAGTCGTACTGGGGAAGGTTTGTCAGGATTTCGAAGTGCTTTTAGCTGTTTGATGGCATTGAAGTACGATCTTGCATCCGGTCGTAATGCGTCCACTGCCTCCGCTTTGTGCTGCCAATATAAGTCACCTTCGTTTCTGAGTAATGCTCGGATACGGTGAAGGATCTTGTTTCTACTTTGTGTTAGTTCTTTCCGCTGTGGGCCATTGCGGCATTACGTGGTCCTGAGCTGTGGGCCATTGCTTGCATTACGTGGTCGCGAGCTGTAGGCCGTTGCGGCATTACATGGTCTCGAGCTGTAGGCCATTGCGGCATCACGTGGTCCTGAGCTGTGGGCCATTGCGGCATTACATGGTCGCGAGCTGTGGGCCATTGCTTGCATTACGTGGTTGTGAGCTGTGGGCCATTGCTTGCATTACTTGGTCGTGAGCTGTGGGCCTTTGCGGCATTACGTGGTCGTGAGCTGTAGGCCATTGCCGCATTACATTGTCGCGAGCTGTGGGCCATTCCGGCTACATTAATCTGCTGCGGTTTCCTGCTTCCAAATCCACTTTCTGCGGATAGTTTTGTATGTCAGGTTTCTCGCCAAATCGACTTAGCGGCGCACTGTGCCCTCCTTCAATCGTTGACCGCCCCCTTTTAAAATGAATGTGCCACCCTTCAGAGTGCGAGCACCACCTCTTATTTTATACGTGTATGCATTTAGCTTCATGATGATGATGAGGACACATCATGTGCAGTGTGCAGTGTACAGTCATGTGGTAGCAGAGCGTTGTATGAGTCATTGCATCATCATCATCATCACTGACTTCTAAAAACCATATCAATGGCGGGCTCCAGTGACCGGTGAATACGTGCATGGAATGGAAGCACAATAGTTGATCGGTTGCTTACTGGTGTCGCTGAAAATAGCAGCAAACATGGCGGTAAGGTCACAAAAATTCCTGGTTCGATGACCCCCACCCTCCTTCACTTATGTTCTGGATACAACCCTGTACGTGACGCATCACGCACAGACATTGCTTTTGAACTTGCCGCATTGCACATGATATTGTTAAGGCTAAACCGTCAGAAAACTCAAATAATATGCAGCTAGATTGTCATTTCACTACGTAATATCCGCAACGCGCCACGCAGGCCACGCAGGGCACCCATAACTCGGAGAGGCCGCGCAGAGCACCCATAACTCGGAGAGGCCGCGCAGAGCACCCATAACTCGGAGAGGCCGCGCAGGGCACCCATAACTCGGAGAGGCCACGCAGAGCACCCATAACTCGGAGAGGCCACGCAGAGCACCCATAACTCGGAGAGGCCGCGCAGAGCACCCATAACTCGGAGAGGCCACGCAGAGCACCCATAACTCGGAGAGGCCACGCAGGGCACCCATAACTCGGAGAGGCCACGCAGAGCACCCATAACTCGGAGAGGCCACGCAGGGCACCCATAACTCGGAGAGGCCACGCAGAGCACCCATAGCTGGGAGAGGCCACGTAGGGCACCCATAACTCGGAGATCAGACTTGCACCCTGTGTTGTTGTGTGAGTGTGTGCATGTCATAGCAGGAGTATTGTGTGAGTGTGTGCATGTACGAGTAACAGCAGGAGTATGCGTAGGAGTAACAGCAGGAGTATGTGTAGGAGTATAGTGCGAGTAACAGCAGGAGTATAATTATAAAATGCCAGGAGTGTGCAATTCTAGATACCCTTTCTATGGGATGCGCTGCCAACGATAACTCATATCATGTGACGTACTGTTGCCCGGTGTATGCTCCCAGTCTGTTTTTAGCCACCATTCAGGAAGTAAAAAAATAGCACTCCCTTTCAGAAACCCACTTAGCTTATGGAGTTATGCAACTGATTACTAGTGATTAGCATGATTACTGCAGGTAATCAAACTGCGCGCATCCTGGCCTCCGTTGTATGTAGTATGAATCGGACTTGGAACACGTGATGTGA